CTCATCCTCCTCGACTAGTGATATTGACCACAGTTCAAAAATGGAAATAGATTGGTGGGGAAATGAATACTTTGAACTGTGTTCAATATCACTAGTCGAGGAGGATGAGGTTGGCAGGGCATGTAGCACGAATGGGGAGGCGAGGAATGCATATAGGTTATTAGTGGGAACGCCAGAAGGAAGGAGAGACTGCAGTATAAGAGATCTACAAGTATTTATTGCTAGTAGCGAAAACAGCATTTTGAGGGTGGCGTGGGGGAGCACTGAAAATAGTTGCTAAGGTAGTATACCTTCTTACCGATTGTGCTCTCGGCCCTGGAGATCATTTTTCATTTAGTCATGTAAGCTGAACATAGATGGCAGAAGCGTTTCACCGAGGTGTCATGGCGGCCTTGTTGCCAACCAATAACGTGGGAGTTTCACGGGGCTGTTCGTATGTGTGTTTAGTGGGTTAACTTTGGCGTGTTCATGTTGTATTTTTCTAGTGTGTAGGTGTTTTCCTTTTCTTTGTGTTCTTATGATGTCCATGGTATGTTATGGTGCTGCATCTGTGTCCCGTGTTTAATATGTGATATGTTCTGAATGTTTTTGTTGTTGTTAATTTGGGTGCCCTTGAATAATTTTGTCTTTTTCCTTGTATCTTTCCTCTGTACATGAACGTGGCCCATTTTGGTTTGTGGTTCTGTGGGTTCGTGTTAGTATTTTGCTTTTTTTTTTTGTGGGGCTGGGTGTACTGTAATTTGGTTTATGTTGTATTTCCTATTACGAAGAAGTACAGTTAGTACATATAGTGACTGAAACAATTTCCAATAAAGGAACGATCAACGGCGTTGCACCTAGACAGCGAAAAAACTCCTAAGTCAAATCTGTACAGTGCAGCAGGATGCTGTGATATAACATAGAGAAGATTTAGTGTGGAGTGATTCGTAGTGTGAAAATCAGTAACAGTGTTATACTTATTTGTAGTTCTCAGGCTCCACTGTCCGTTTCCTGGCAGCGGATCTGTAACACGGGAACCTAGGGGGAGGGCAAAAAAAGGGTAAAGTTGTTCCTATACTTAGCTAAGTAAGCACTACGCCATGAAGGCGTATAAGTGAGTGGATGTATAGACCCATGTTTTCTTGACCTTGGCACTGGTTGAAGGTGAGTGGTCAGCTTCATACCCCTGGGGAAAGATCCCCTGATACCCTTCGGATAGGAGGTTATGTGGACCCCAGAGCTGGTCTTGACAACATGGAGAAATGACAGTTCTTGACTCCACTGGGAATTTTAACTCTGACCCGTTGGTCATCCAACCAGTAACTAGTCTATGACAGGTGTGCTATTCTGGCTCACACAGGAGCTATAAAAGTCTCACTAATACTCCCAATATCACTGTACTGCAGTGCACATAAAGTCTTCAAATTACATTGTAAGTTTTCACTGGCTGACTTTTCTGTACTCCTACAGCACCTCTTCTATACTCCAGCTTACTGCTGTATTCCTGCATCTTACTGCTTCAGCTTCAAAATTCTTCTCACTTACGTAGAGACACAATGGCCATGGACCTGCAAAAAACATGTCACATGATCACTAACCAGCCAGTCCATTGGTGTGCTGGCTGGACCTACAGAAAACACATGTCACATGATTGCTAAACACTGTTGTGGCATCACCACATATGCAGGAATGTGTTTACTGCACATTGCATAGCAATGAGCACAGCATGGAACCATGCTGCTATTGCGTGTGTTTTAGTACATTTTTACTGAGTCATTGCCTAGCAATGAGATAGCAGTCTATTAACACGGAAACTTCCAGTGAAGACAGACGACTTTATGTGTGCTGAACTGATTAGTACACTTTAAATATGCTGCATGTATTTACACATATGTTGAGTGATCATGATTGTTTTATTTAAAACTTCCAGAAAATAATATATTTTGTTAATTTCTTCACTGATTGGTGCAGTACAGACTGGGTTACTCCAATATTCACAGTAATAATCTTTGTAAAGTAAAATTATTATTATTATTACTATTATTATTATTATTACTCGTATTATTATTATTATTATTATTATTATTATTATTATTATTATTATTATTATTTTGGATGGGGTGGGTTTCCCCATGCACTGCGACTAGTTGTTGATCTATTGTGCATCCCCTTTTAATTATTCTACTAGTTGCCATGCCCTTCCAATACTGGTGCTCGCTATCAGCCCCATTCTGCCAGTGAGGTCGGCCACCTCTCTGGCAGTGGTCTCCGATATTTCCCCATCTACCGGGGGAATTGGAAACTACTTGGGCGGAAAACTTTGCCTAATTTTGCTCAGAGGTCTCCTTGAGACATGATCTTTTACGTGCCGTAAATCTATGACATGGGACACACGGCTTAATATCCCTCCCGGAGGACTTGTTCCATGAATTTTTCTGCCCTTAAAAATTCGTCGACCTCCGCTGGGTTTGAACCCGCGTACCTTGAGTCATGAGGTGGGAACCTTACCCCTAGACTACGGAGGCTGCTAAAGTAAAAGTAAAGGTGTCCCTGTAAGAGGCTGTGGAGGCCCGTAGGGTTGTGATATGTTGAGGTTCCCACATTTTCTAGACAGTCTGCTCACAGATGGTGGCAGGGTTGTCAGCCCTGTGCGCCATCTGCCCTTTACCCCCAAGAATATTCCTGGTACTCATTTCTGTTAGAGTCTGAGTCGACCCCAGGGTCATAGTGTGGCTGGAAGGATTAGGTCAATTGAAAAAAAATCCAGTGACCTCATCGGGACTTGACCCACTACCTTCTGTCTTGTAGCATAGTGCCTCAACCAACTATTCTACCGCGCTCCCCCAGTAATCTCTGTACTAATCATTTTAAATTCAGAGCGCAAGTTCAACCTGTCAGTGACCATAGTGACTACTCATGGCACCTGTCAAACCGTGGTCCTTATCACAATATCAATTCAAATAGAAGTGTTTCTGATTCATTCAGATTTATATTTTGTTCCTTAAATTAAATCTGAAATTTGAAGTTAATAGTAGACAACATCTAAGACTGTCAGATCCAGAGATTTGTCTTTGTGATGATGTCAGCATGAACGTGAGCATCCACCAGTGTGGTTCTCATTCATTATTATTATTATTTCCTAATTAATTAGCTGTTAGTACATGTCTGATTCAAAAGAGGTTTAAGGAAGAGCTATTGAATGTAAACAGCACTGTGGATTATATATACTCGTACAGGGTGTCCCAGGAGGAATGTGCCAGACTTCGGGAGAGTGTTCCTTATTTTAAAGTATGCCAATATAACCCAAAACACCTATGTCCAAAGTTGAACAGTTTCAGAGATAATGGCCAGAGAAGTGTGAAACTTTGACATGTGTTACACACTTGTTGATTACCAAATACATATTAAAACTGGCAGGAATATGTGGTTTCTGTAATGTTAATAATGTACATAACATCAGACTAACTTGTGGGTGACATAAAGCCATTAAACTGGACCTCAAAAATACTCGCACGCCATGTCATAGTTGTCCTTAGGGTTCCAAGGACTATACATGACACATGAATGACAAGCACTGATGTAACATGCCTGACTGCGCCTCATCACTGAATAAAATGATGCTTAACAGTTTGGGATGAGCTTTTATCCAGTGGCACAAATCCATACACTGAGCATGGTCGCCTGGTTCCAGATTTTGTACCCTTTGATCATGGTAAAGATAAAACTCTCATCATGTAATGTTCGCCACACCTGCATATGTGATACGCCAATGCGAGAGGCCATTCTACGAGTGGACAGACACGGACTTCTCTGAAACATCTCAACAGTTTCTCGTGTGGTTATCATTCGTACATCCTCCCTTTCAGAGTACACAGAAACACTCGGAAGAGAACCATTATCACGCAATGTCTGGTGAATTCGCGTAAATACACTTCGACATGTAATCCTTCGATTGGGAAAACACCTTTGGTATTCTTCAACAGCAGCATGTGCATTGCCACCGCAAAATCCACACACAAAATGCATATCACAGTATTCCACGTTTGAAAACACAAAAGGCATTTCACCAACTCCGCACAATTAACCTACCACCCATTCAAAATGCGGCTGCAACGTATACTGAAGGGAGCTTACGGCTAGTGTGAATCACCTCACTCAAGGACAAACATAGATAAGACATGCCAGCTGACAGGTGCAGTGCGTGGACTCGCCAGAAGACCACACTTTTGTGGGGCCATTATCTCCGTAACCATTCAACTTTGGACATAGGTGTTTTGGGTTATATCGGCATACTATAACATAAGGAACACCCTCCCGAAGTTTGGCACATTCCTCCTGGGACACTCTGTATATGTATGGAAATAGATTGTGTATTTGTATAATGTACTTAGAGGTTATGGTGAGGCAGCATATGGGCATTTATATCAAATGACTGCGCTACAAACTTCTACACCATAAATGTGCTTTGCAGGATAGTTCGTAATTCTTCAGCTTGTGACAAAATCTGTAAGGCAGAAGTTTACTATCAGTATATGAGTCCGAAGCTGGATATTGTTACATGTAAATCAGGCGTTGGAACACAATGAAGACTGGCTGTTGCTGGAGACAATACAATTAATACCATTGCTATCATAAATAAAAGTGCTCATTTCCTCTCACATAATTGTCTGTGTGTGTGTGGATTGATGATTATCAAATCTGGATTTTAAATTACTGGAATTGGGAGTGTATTATCGATTTAATAGTGAAGTGCCGAAATTAGTGATTAGGTAATCTGTGTCCTGTATTTTATTGTGTGAGATACAAGTGAAGTGCATAGGACTTAAGACTTTAACTATGGTCAGTAGAATCTGTACAGTGAGTTACCCTGAAAGAATTTGCTCTATCATAGGTTGATAGCATCTAGCAAGTAAGAAATATATTGCTGATATTCATAACTATAATGATATCTGGAATGAATAGCCTCTCTAGTAAATTTGGAGTTTGTCATAGATGGGTCACTAATGGTCTGATTTGTACAGACTGTGGCTGTTTCTTCCACTTAAACTGGGCAAACGCCAGCCCCAGTGTACCAGACAGGAGCGTGCCATGGTATTGTATTCCGTTAAATACCAGAAGCATGTGAAGCAACAGGAAGTGATTATCATGAACTTGGAAAGGGAATTAAAGGCAGCTACGGAGGAAATTTACAAGCTGAAAACAGGTAATGTCAGTAATTTCATGAAGCAGAACAATTCAGGAATTTGGGAAAAGCCAAAATATTCAAAGTCCAGGTTCCAGCGGTTCTCTGCAAATGATGCTGGAGAAGTTCAACTGAGCAACAGATTTAGCATACTGGTAACAGATTCTGTGGAAGTTGGTCAGTGATCCCAAGTTCCGTTGAATCATAAGAACAGGGAACTAAAATCAAACACTACGAAGACACAGAAAATAAAAGGTCCTACTACTGGAAGTAGTCATGGTAGAAAAATTGGCCCTGTGCTTCAGGAAAGCTTGGGAACTATATTTGATCTTCAAACCAAATGCTCCTCTTGCGAAGGTTGTTGAGGATTTGAGAAGCTGTTAATGAATGGGAGGGTTAGAGGCATGAATGTACGGTTTGATCAGCAAGAAGAATTCAAACTTCTTTGAGTAGAGCCATTGATAATATTTTTACAGGTAGTGCAAGGTTAGGTTCTTCTCCTACATCTGCTATAGTCAGTGGCCTCTCAGACCGTGATGCTCAATTTCTTTCAGTAGATTATTACTACAAAGGAAAATATAATACCCCTGAAACAGAAAACCTGAAAAATAAATTAAACTATTGCTCAATTTCAGCATCTCTTAGAAAGTGAAACATGGGAACCTGTTTATACAAATAAGGATATAAACTATAAGTTTAATGCATTTTACATATTTTTCTAAATATCTTTGATATTAGTTTTCTAATTTGGATTAAAAGAGTATGTAGGACAAACAAATGACTGGGTTACATGAGAAATAAAAATATGTTGCGGTAATAATCCCTGCAGGAGAGCATATTATATTAAGTATTGCAAAATCCTGAGCAGAGTTGTAAAAGAGGCTAAAAGGCGCATTACCCTAGGCTTATTACAAAATCAGATAATCACCTAAAAACAGTTTGGAATATAATAAAACATGAAAATTACATATGACAGAACAGATACCATCTTTTCTTGTAAATGAATAAAAAGCGAGGGACCCAGAAGAAATTACTGATGCCTTTAAAACCTATTTTTTGACAATTACAGATAAGCTAGGCTTGCATCAGGAAGGGAGAGATAATGCCATTTCATTTTTAAGAGAAGCACTTCCTAGAAAATTCCCTGCCATTAACACCATCCCAACCACCAAAACTGAGATAAAAGTATAATACATTTTCTCAGAGCTAGAAACTCATTGGGTTTTGATCGAATAACAAATAAAATCTTAAAAGAGTGTGGATCCCTAATCAGTCACCCATTAACTCACATCTATAATCACTTACTATTCACAGGGATCTTCCCTGATCATCTGAAGCTTTCAATAGTAAGACCACTGTACAAAAAAGGGGGACAGAACTAGAATATAAAACTACAGGCCAATTACACTGTTAACTAAGAAAGTTATGCACAGTAGGTTAAGCCATTATTGTGAGACCAATAGCATAGTAGTACCAGAACAGTTTGGCTTCAGGAAAAGAATGTCCATTGAAAATGCAACCTTTAAATTAACAGACAGTATATTAAAATCTATTAATAAAAAATAAGAAAGTGGAGGGGGGGAGTAGTGGAGAAAACTGCATAATGAGGAGCTTCTTATCTTGCACTCTTCTCCAAGTATAATTAAAATGATCAAGTTAAGGAGGATGAGATGGGCAGGGCACCACAGCTACATCACAAGGGGGGGAGAAGAGGAATGTGTATAGGATATTGGTGGGAAAGCCAGAAGGAATGAGACCACTGGGAAGACAAAGATATAGGTGTGTGGACAATATTAAAATGGATCTTAAAAAGGCTGGGATGATATGGATTGGACTGATCTTAGTGAGGATAGGGACCAGTGGAGAGCTCTTGTGAACACGGCAATGAACCTTCAGGCTCCATAAAATGCTTGGAATTTCTTGAATAGCTGCATAATTGGAAGCTTCTCAGGAATGGCTCAGCTCCATGAGTGAGTGTGAGTGAATAAATAAATGCATGTTGGTGAAATATTCTGCGATCTGGCAAAGCTTTTGACAGTGTAAATCACGAAATGTTATTGACTAAATTACATTTTATGGCATTCAAGGAGTAACAGAAAATTGGTTCAGGTTCTACCTAACAGAAAACAAAAGATTGAAATAAAATCATCGAACACAACTGAAAGTATTTTCTCAAGCTGGGGAACAATAAAACATGGAATTCTCCAGGGGTAAGTTTTATGGCCTTTGCTCTTCGTATTTATATAAATGACCTCCTTCCTACATTGAACACCTAATCAGCACCCATAATATTTGCGAATGACACTAGTGTCATAATTTTTACCAAAAATTAGGTGATTTCTGCAAACTATCAAGCAAAGATATTAAATTAGTATATGGTTGAAGAAAGCAGTCTTCTGGGATGTGGCGCCGTGTGGATATTGTGTTAACCAACATATCACCTCCATATTCAGGGTAGAAGAAAAAAGAAGAAAAATCCATAAGCGAAGAACCAGCGTGAGCAGGTGCTAATAGACTAATGTCGAGAATAAACCCAGCTGTATAAGAGCAGGAGGAGAAGGGAGAGGGGCTACATGGGAAATCAGTAGAGAAGAGAGGGGAAGGGTCTGGGCAGGTGGGCCAGCAGGTAGCAGGCCGGAGCAGGTATACAATATTGTGTCGGGGGAGAAAGGCAAGGTTAATGGAGGGCATTAACCCTTAAATCTTCAGCCTTGCTATGCGATTCTGGCATGGACTTGCATGGCCTTGTGGATGTGGCGTCATGTCCCGGAGGTTTCTTGAGGGAACAGATGAGAGGCTTCCATGACTTGCTGAGACAAAGCACCACCTCTCTGTTCATATTGTCGCAATGGAGTTCAATCTCAGTGGCCTCTGTAATGATGCGAACCATATATCGTGTCTTGGTGGCGAGGATGGAGGTATTCTGAAGCTGAATGCCATGTCCCAAATCGATTCTGTATTCAGCCACAGCTGACTTGTCCAGATGTTTGAGACTGATGTGCTGCTGATACTCCTTCACACCTCTGGGACATGACGCCAGATCCACAAGGCCACTCAAGTCCATGCCTGACTTGCATAGCAACCCCAAAGCTTAAGGGTTAATGCCCTCCATTAACCTTACCTTTCTCCCCAGACACAATATTCTATACCTGCTGGTCCACCTCCCCAGACCCTTCCCCTCTCCTCTCTACTGATTTCCCATGTAGCCCTTCTCCATTCTCTTCCTGCTCTTACACAGCTGGGTTTATTCTCGACATTAGTCTATTAACAGCTGCTCACGCTGGTTCTTCGCTTATGGATTTTCTTCTTTTTTCTTTTACCCTGAATATGGAGGCGATACGTTGGTTAACACAATATCTACACGGCGCCACATCCCAGAAGACTGCTTTCTTCATAGTCACTGCCGTGAAACCCTCAAATCTTACATAGTATATGGTTCACTGCAAACAAGGTGTCCCTGAACATAGATAAAAGAAATATAATAAAATTTATAACAAAAAGTTAACCACTATCCATTAAACATTGGATATGATGATCATGTAGAAGAAGGAGTAAATAGAAAATTCCTTGGTCTACAAACGGTAATCACATAAACTGGAAAACCCATGTAGATCAACTGGTTCATATATTAAGTGGAGTGTTTTATGCAGTTAGATTTATGTTGCATATCGGCAACATTGACACTCTCAAAGCAATCTGGTTTGCTTATTTTCACTCTCTAATGAAATATGGAATAATTTTGTGGGGTAATTCATGTGACAGCAAAAAGATGTAAATATCTTTATTAGAATTCGTTGCAAGATAACAACAAGATGGTCGAGGTTTACATTACCTTAGCTACATGTTTCGGCTTTTAAAGCCATCATCAAGCAAATACAAAGTTATTACAGTTACGAGCTATTGAACTGCATTACAGTATGATGATGCAGTAGTGCTGGATACTGGGCAAATATGTTACACTATAATAATAAAAAGTATAAAAATACATTAAAATTATGAAGTTATTATAAAAACAAAAGTTACATAGTTAAAACTATTGTTAAAACTCTTCATGTAATATTTCATATTATGTTCATATATTTCATATTATAGTGCTGTGTTGTTATATTCCAGCAGACATATAGCGGTATTATTCTTGCCTTCTACATGTATGGAATGGCCAACTGCTTAGGGGCCCATGGTATCAGTACAGTATTTTGTTTGACCGGTTCCTGATTTTACGTGTGTATGTCTGTTCAGAGGGGAAGACAGATTGAAAATCAGATTCCTATTCAGTTGCAATCTGTCACTAGTGAAGACAACACCACACGCTGCTAGATGAAACAACACAGAAGCAAGGGGCATATTACAGATTGCAGACGTAAGAAAACAACGGGCTAATGAACATGAAAACAATCTGCTGAAATAAAACACAAAGCCCTAAACAAGTGGATGCCGCCCCTTATGAGTGGAGTGCAGCGCATGGTTTTAGCCCGCATCAGAGCAGTGTAGCAGTTTAGATTCATTGAGACACCTGAAGATGGCCGAAACATGTTAAGTGTTAAATGATGAAATTTGGGGAATGGAAAAAAGGAACAATTGTTACATTATTGACAGACTATGATATACATAGATGTTAATGTAATGTATGTATGTAGTTACAGTGATATTTGGAGTGTAATTTAGTGAGACTTTAGGCTGTGCCATAACTCAGGCAGTTAGTCACCAGCATCCTATCATGGCCTGGGTTTGAGCCCAGGTCAGGTCATGTGGGATTTGTGGTTGATAAAGTGGCACTGGGGCAGGTTTTCTACATGTACTTCTGTTTCCCCTGACAATTCTCATTCCACCAACTGCTCCACATTCATCATCATTTATCATCCAGGTCTGGTACAATAGGCCAGTTAGTGGCTGATGTACTAAGTGAACTCAGTCTCACCCCACATCAAGAAAGAAAAACTAACTCACTAACTAGTGAGACTTTTAGTTACTGTGTTAAATCAGCAATAGTGTTATACTTTTTTTTAATGCTAGTGGTGTGGCACTAAGTCCCTTGCACTGAGGTCACTTCTGGCCTATTGTACCAGCCCCAGATGATAGGTGAGGGTGATTGTGGAGCAATTGGTGGAATGAAGATTGGCAGTGGAAACTGAAGTACTCGGAGAAAACTTGCACCATCGCCGCTTTGTCCACCACAAATCCCACTTGACCAGACCAGGGATCGAAGCCGGTGACTAACCGCTTGAGCTATGGCATGACCCTAGTGTTATACTTAGTTGTAATTATAAGTGGTCAATAAATCCCATTACCAATCCGAACCCCCTCTGTCATCACTAATACACATGACAGTATCATATTAAAACTCATGAACTTGTGTTCTCATACATCTTAATGTTTTTCTGTCTCATTTCTAGGAGTGTATAATAAAAGTATAAGTTATGGTTATTATAGTGTACAGAGGTGTCATGTTCAAGTGACACATATTTTCAAATAAAGGAATGTAACTGGTATTTAATAACTAACAATCATGCTAGCAATTCTGGCCATGAAAAACATAGAGAACCTGACATATATATCACTGGGCATAGAAATCAAATTGTTCATGTTAAAACCATCTCAACAACTCACAAAATTGACTTTATCTGTGATGGTGTATTGGACATAGAAAACCCTGACAGTGTGAAAGAAACTGAAAATGCAGCACTTCTCTACAAGGCTGTCTGCTTTCCAGAGTCTCAGTTTTGACGTGTGTATTAGCAACTAACACATTCTAATTGAAGGCATTAGATACCAGTTACAATTGACATCAGCAAACGCGTACAAAGAATTACTTCAGCAATGCCAAAAAAAGAGGAACAACTTTTGGAATGAGTTCTGTGTGGCCAATGCCAGGACCTCATTAGTAAGGATGCAGACTCAAAACATAGGCATTGGTAACACGGTAAGAAATTTATGGTTTCCACCATAAAATTCGAAGCATCAGAAAAGATCAGGAAGTTCCACTAACCAAAAAATGGGCCAAGTCAGCAGTGGTTTGTCAATAATTGATAGGGCATCAATTCATCCTACTGTGGTTGGAGTAGACATGTGGAACAGGCTACTTGCACACAATTTGTGTTTCCTCACTTTGTCATGTAATGTATGTGGAAAGATGTGCATGATGAAGTATGGTTACCTATTATTGCTCCATGTTTGGCCAGTGTCATGTTAAGTTAGCTTAGTTTAGATTGACTAGAAATTCAAAAGAACAAAACGAAACAAAAAGAATCATGCACAAATTCCACCAAAATCACAGCAAATAACAGATAAACTAAACATCCCAATAAAAAATTAAGTGAACAAAGAAATCGTAGGTAAAAAATTAAAGCTATCTGTGTAACAGACTGTGGAGACCCATAGGATTGTGAGACGTGGAGGCTCCCACATTTTCTAGACAGACAGCTCAACAGGCGGCTGTGAGGTTGTTAGCCTTACGTGCCGGCCAGCCATCTGCCTTTTACCCCCAGGAAGATTCCTGGTACTCATTTCTCTTTGAGGTTGAGTCATCCCCAGGGCCATAGTGCAGCTGGAAGGATTAGGTAAATTGAAAAATCCAGGAATCGAACCTGTAATCTTCCGTCTTTTAGCATAGTGCCTCAACCAACCATGCTACCATGTGCCCCCCCCACAGAAAGAAATCAAAGCAAATAGTAAAATTGTAACATACCCAGATAGCTAGCCAACATAAAGCACACAAAAAATTCACAGAAAGGAAAACATTATAAAAACAAGAACTGAAGCTTATCTCCCAGCACCTTCACAACAATTAGAAAAAGAAAATTAGACTAAGAGTGTGAAATGAATTCAATTCTTGGGAAACTGGATACCACAGAAATGAAATAAGAAGCATTTCAATTATCTTAACACAGTCATTTACATTTCATCATTTAGATTACCTCATTTTGAGTTGAAACACATCATAGTAACCTCATGAAATTAAAATGCACAGCTATCCTGCACTTCGCCAGTTGTATCAGCATTTTCTTTCTGCAGGCATCCCCAGGGGGAAAGCGGCATGGATATGCAGCTGACCACTCACCTACATCTAGTGTCAAGGTCAAAAATGGTAGCGCTATACCGCCTACCCACCCACACATGTGTCTTGTGGTATAGTGCTTAACTAATTAGACACAACGACAAAATTATCTATACCAGAATTGTAACTTACTTTACTCCCTTCTCTTTCATTGCTGACACAGATAAGACAATTTTGGTGTCTGTTTTATTTATTTACATCCTGAATAGCAGGCTGGTTCCGATAGACTGGATGTGTCATTATCATTATGACTAACTCGTGGTGAACTCATATTCTTGTGTCAGTATCACCACTTACATACAGTTCTTGAGAAGTATATAAAAAAGTGAATGCATTTGATATTGAAAAATGACTTGGTTGTGTAGCTTTTCAAATAAAACAGGACCTTTCTTATGCAGGCTGAATAATAATCAGAATTGCTGCTCGAAATCAGACTACCTCAAAGTTAACAGACATTAAACTCAACAATTTTCAGAAGTCTGAGAAGTTTGAGTAAGGTCTTTGATTCTGAAATTGAGAGAATTCCAATGGTAGAAATGTACATGTGAAAGTGAAGTGGAGAGCTCAGAGGACACAGTCAAGTCATAAGATGTTGAATTCCCATAATAATCATACTCAAGGGAAGGAATCTTCTTGGAATCAGACAATGGACTGTAGCACCATTAAATTATTAGTCGCATACTAAATATATCATTTTTATAAATAAGAGAATTGATGGTAGGATGTCTTCTAACCATACAAAGTGAATATGAGAAAATGGCAGTAAGGTTCAGATCTTGTCTATTCAGTGAATAGACATTCTGGGCATTGCAAAAAGAAATATTTCTGAACTTGTTGTCATCATGTCACATGTCCCATTTCCTTCTCTTTTCCCACAAGTCCATGCTCTTAAATGTTTATAATATTTTTTGCAGATTAATGAAACATTGATTCAGAATGGATGAAATTGAATATAAATTGAAGAAAAGTAATGCTATTTTAGTGGTAAATGTAAGTATTTCCAGTGTGTCATATTCATTGAATATGCCAGTAAAGAACATTGAGCTCTAAATACAGCAATTAACCCATATCCTAATACTGAAGCAAAATAGCTCTCCATGACTTGTTAATTTTTCATATTATTTCAGTTACATAGTAATTTAGATAAGGTTGCCAGGCCTCCCCCTTTTAACTGCATGCTGGTAGTTACTTGAAATTTTCCTCATTTTAACAACTGCATGTAACTGAATACTTATTCTTCAGTTGTTGTCTGTTGTCCAATATTCAGTAACAAAATAATGTCTTAATTGCTTACAGGCTATTTCCAAACTTGTTAAGGCTATAAAAAGTAAAGGTGCTCCTCATTCTGGAAAAATTGAAGAGGTAAGAAATAAAATCAACATGTTAATGTTTGAATGAAGAATAATACATAATATACACCATAAATAGCATTGCCTTTTAACCTAATGGTTTAGCGGCCTCGGTAGTCTAGGGGTAATGTTCCCACCTCGTGACTCAAGGTACGCGGGTTCAAACCTGGCGGAGGTCGTGGAATTTTTAAGGGCGGAAAAATTCAGGGAACAAGTCCTCCGGGAGGGACTTTAAGCCGTGGGTCCCGTGTCGTAGCTTTACTTCACGTAAAAGAACCTCATGTCTCAGGGGGACCTCTGAGCCAAATTTAGGACATTTCCCGCCCAACAGTAGTCTCTAACGCCTCTGGTAGATGGGGAAAGCATTGAGATACTGCGAAGCTAGTAGAGGCCAAACTCGCTGGCTGAGTCGGACTGATGGCACGCACCAGTACCGGTAGGGTATAGAGACTGGTAGACTATCACAAGGGGACGCACAATGGACCAATATCTGGTCTAAGTGCATGGGGAAACCCACCCTCTCCAATAACAACAACAACAACAACAACCTAATGATTGGAGTCTTGTTATATTTCATAGCAGGAATTTTTGTTGTAACATTACTTGTACTCATGGAATTCAACAGCGAACAAAGATACTAAACATGCCTTTTAGGTGTTCTGTACAAAATGAAATAAGAATGCCATATGTGAATGTCATGTCATGTCTGCCCATCTGACTGTGACTTAATCAGTGCCGAACCACAATGGACAGATTTTCTTAAAGAGTCTAATATGGGTGACTTTCACCAAAGGTTGTTACTCAGTTCTCATTTTCAGCCATATTATAGTGTTAGGTGGGTCCCTTGTCGCCATGGCATGGCATGTCATGTCCTGAAGTTGCGGATGGCGGAGACTCCCTCCAGGTATGGAGGGAAGCTGCAAATATATTAAATAAGTAGTCACGGGCAGCCGACAGAGGGTGGTCCTCCCACTCAGACCTGGACAGATCCTTTGGATAAACGACCTAGGCTAAAGAAAATGGACATGAGATTCGGTGCATGGAACATTAGAAGTATGTATAGGGAAGGTTAGCCCAGGGCAGTAGCAGAAGAAATCTTAAAATATAGGTTAGATTTAGCGGGAGTACAGGAGGTCAGATGGGACAGAGGTGGCATCGAACCAGCAGGTGAATATACATTTTTCTATGGAAAGGGGAATGAAAATCATGAATTAGGTACAGGTTTTTTCATACATAAGAGAATCATATCAGCAGTTAAAAGGGTATAGTTCGATATATGATATAACTCCGTCCTAAGTGCAAACTATAGTTATAGGTCTTTTGTTTTTTTCTCCTTTATACATTACATGTTTCGGCCCCAAACGGCCATCATCAGGTGTATACACTACGTGTAGTAAAGATAAGCAGTGGCACGCACACAGGGAGACTACACAGAATAACACCTATACAGTACTAGAAACAAGAAGAAGCCACTGCAGCACTATAGACATAGGGCGAGTAACTCTGACAATTTTAAAATTTAAAACTTAGAGAAAAAAAAATTAAAGGATTTAAAATTAGAACTGAAGATTTTATAAGTGCTAATTCAGAGAAATCAAAATTGATGCATGTAAATAACAAAGATATCAACAAAGTAGATTTTGGCAATAACAACAAAAGGCACAATCAGGAAGACCTATGTTTTTAAATTTTAAATGTTATAAATAAGTTCAGTGTAACAGATACGTGAGTGTATACACCTGATGATGGCCGTTGGGGCCGAAACATGTAGTGTATAAAGGAGAACAAACAAAAGACCTATAAATATAGTTTGCATTTAGGACGGAGTTATATCATATATCGTATAAAGTGCAACAGGATGCTTAAATATAATATTGTAATAGGGTAGATTTCGTTAGTGATAGGGTATCATATATGGTACTAAACGGTCACTGGTGAGATATCATCATGAATGTTCACACCCCAACAAAAGATAAAATTGATGACATAAAGGACAGGTTCTATGAAGAACTACAACATATATTTGATAAATTCCCAAAGACCCCTATGAAAATTTTGTTAGTAGATTTCAGTGCCAAAGTATGGAAGAAGGACATATGTAGGGCAGTCAGAAATTTCCCGGAATTCCCCTGCAGACGGAGAACAAGCGATAAGATACCACACACACTATTGTGGTGGGAAGTTCAGCATGTCTGCTTGCAGGCGCAACAGGTCTGGACAGGTTTCAGTGTGCAGTGTCGTTACTGTTCTGTTTGAATTAGACGTGAGTGTTGGTCATTCGGCGCAATTTTGCAGTTCAAGCAGCGTGCGAACATCAAGTTCATGTGGAAATTGGGAAAATCTGCTTCAGAGACACTATCAGCCCTGTAGCAAGTTTACGGTGATAGTGCACTAAAGAAATCCGCAGTTTACGACTGGTTTTTCTGGTTTAAGAATGCGCAGGAGACGTTAGAGGATGACCAATGCAGCAGGAGACATTCGACATTCAGAACCGAAGAAATGATTGGAAAAGTGAGACAACTGATTCGATGTGATCGCAGAATGACCATTGCGGAGTTGGAGCAAGAAGTTGGTACTGTTACTGGCCATTTCGCCGTGCAAGTTTTGCAGAGGTTGCGCGATGCAGTTCAGAGGAAGCAACATGACAAGTGGCAGGGACAGTGGTTTCTGCATCATGATAACACACCGAGCCACACATCACTTGTGCAGCAATTCCTCGCTGAGAAAAACATTCCTGTCATCACTTAACCACTGTACTCTCCGGATCTCACTCCGAGTGACTTTTGGCTGTGCCCTACTCTGAAAATGGGCCTCAAGGGGACACGTTTCACAACCATGGAGGACATCAGATCAAATGTGATGGCTGAGCTCCAGAAGATTCCAAAAGAAGGCTTCCACCGCTGCTTCCAACAATGGCAGGATCGATGGAGCAAGTGTGTGTGCACGCAAGTGTCCTACTTTGAAGGTGATTAGGTAAGCGTTGCTGTATGTCATACCATTAGAGAGCTATACCACCATTCCGGGAACTTTTTGACTGCCCCTCATATTCAAACCAACGATTGGGAATGTGAGTCTGCATGAAATTAGTAATGATAATGGAGTTACAGTAGTAAACTTTGCCACATCAAAAAATCTTGCTGTCAATAGTACAATGTTCCCACACAGAAACATCCATAAATTTACTTGGACATTTCCTGATTGGAAGATACACAATCAAATTGACCATAGAATACGACATTGAAGTATACTTGATGTTCGATCATTCAGGGCAGCAGGTTGTGATACTGACCACTACCTGATGTTGGCAACGGTTAGGGAAAGACTGGCAGTGAGCAAACAAACAGCGCACAGAGTTCATATGGATAGGTTCAATCTCAAGAAATTAAATGAAGTAGAGGGTAAAGAGCAGTATTGTGTTGAAATCTCAAATAGGTTCGCGGCTTTGGAAAACTTGGACACTTAGGTGGATGTTAATAAAGCTTGGGTAACTATTAGAGAGAATATCAACATTTCTGACAGGAGAGTCTAGTTTATTTTGAACCAGAATCAAAGCAAAATAAATGGGGATAATCTGAACAATATAAGACATGAAACCAGCAGGCATTTCCGGAATAAAAAGAGGGAATATCTGAAAGACAAAATTGGTGAGCTTGCAATGAACAGTAAGAACAAGTACATTAGCAACCTGCATAGAAGAATAAATGACTTTAAGAGGGGTTAGCAACCTAGCAGTAACTTAGTGAAAGATAAGAATTGTGATCTGCTCGCAGATTCCCACATTTTGAATAGGTGGAAGGACTACTACTCTCAGTTATTGAATGTACATAGGGTCAGTGATGTTAGGCAGATAGAAATCCATACATGACATAAAGATAGGAAACAGATGTTTTGAAAATGTGACACAGTTCAGATATTTGGGAACGACGATAACAAATCAAAACCTGATCAAGGAGGAAATTAAGAGGAGATTGATCTTGGGTAATGCTTGCTACCATTCCGTCCAGAAACTTTTGTTTTCTCATCTTCTGTTTAAAATCATAAACATTATAATATAAAAACTATAATTTTGCCTGTAGTTCTGTATGGATGTGAAACTTGGTCTGACATTAAAGGAGGAACATAGACTGAGTGTGTTTGAGAACAGGGTGTTGAGAATATTTGGACTGAAGAGGGATGAAGTGACAGGAGGTTAGAGAAAACTGCATAATGAGGAGCTTCATAACTTGTACTATTCTTCAAGTATAATTATAATGATCAAGTGAAGGATAAGATGGGCAGAGCATGTAGCATGAATGGAGGAAATGAGGAATGCATGTAGGATATTGGTGGGAAAGCCAGAAGGAAAGAGATCACTGGGAAGATCAAGGCGTAGTTGGATGGACAATATTAAAATGGACCTTAGAAAGATAGGATGGGATGATATGGATTGGTTTGATCTGGCTCAGGATGGTGACCAGTGGAGGGCTGTTGTGAACATGGTTATGATCTTCGGGTTCCATAAAATGCTTGGAAATTTTTTGGTATCTACAGAATTGGCGGCGCCTCAAGAAGAGCTCAGCATCATTACTAAGTAAAGCTATTGATCCATATGACTATAAATGGACTGTTCCTTGCATATCCTATATGAAATTTTGTATTAGGGGCTTTCTAAGTTGAATTTTATTATTTCTGTCTTTAAGTAAGTTAAAATAAATTTGTTAAACTTCAAGAATACTGTTGATAATTTGGGTACCACATTAAGGAGTACATAATTTCCAGCCTTGTTGGTTCATTATTTATTTTTTTTATTTGAAAGTAAATGAAACAAATGGCATTAGGCTGAAAAGCCCATCTTTCCAGCAAGGTTAGTTTTGCAGTATTTTTAATTGTTGGTTCATCAAAGAAAATTCTGACACAGCTACCATCTGTTATCATAAAGTGTAATTAAGTGTAGTTTTTGCATTCTCTGAATGAAATGTAACTGAAAACAGAGTGTCAAAGAGTTGGTGTCTCAGTTTTGTCTAGTGATGACAA